GGTCTGTTTTATGTGTTGTCTCCTCAATTTGGAGGGCCCCAAATTTCCTAAATCCGCCCCTGCCTCTACCAGGGCAGCAAGGCTGGAAGCAACAGGGGCAGACCACAACCCAGAAAAGGGGTCCCCAGGACCCCCACATCTCTGTAACCCTCAAATTCTGACCCCCTGCCTGAGAAAGGGAAAGGTGCAGAGGCGATAGAGCACAAACTTACCGCTCCTGCCCTCAGATTAAAGCCTCTTCTCCTCCACATCCAGGGGAGTCAGCTGAGGTAAAGATCTTTGTCGGATGTCTCCTGGATGCCTCTCTCTGAGGTGTTCCAGGCCTGTCCCACCATTAGGAGGCACAAGGAAAGACTCAGGACACCATGGAGGGACTATGTCTCTTGTGTTGGCCTGGGTGCCAGGAGTCACTGTATGTTTTATTTCTATCTTTTCATGCACTCTTTCCTGTCTCTACCTCTCTTTTCCTTTTTCACCTCCCTTTCCATCTCTGTGTTCGTTGTTTACGATTTAGTTTCATATACAAGTATCAAGCCGAACCTTATGATAACAGTCATACTGGTCAGCGTGTGAAAGCAAAGTTGTTGGGCTATCAGCTAGTCTGGGTCTTTTATTCCCAGTGCTATACTGGCAAAGTCAGACACAGAAATAAGAAATAACTTCATGTTTTTTCGAGATAGTTTTTAATTAAGCAGGGCTGAGTCTATCCAACATCAAAATGTTCACTCCTCCCAGAACAGGAGAAACAGATAGAGGGACAGAGACAATGTCTCAGAGTGAGAACTCTGTTAGGCTATTCCGTCAAAGTTTAAAAACAATCCACTGGACTTGGTTTCCAAGGTTTGAAGACGTTTCGCTTCCCCTCCAGGAAGCTTTCTCAAGTAAAAAAAAAAGAATTTTTGAATTTGAGGGGAAGCGAAACGTCTTCAAACCCTGGAAACCAAGTCCAGTGGATTGTTTTTAAACTTTTACGGATTGACTATGACCATCAGTATCTGTTAGGCTATGGAGCTTTGTCTTCAATATTTACATACTGATATCTTCTTTTGTAAATCTTGTCTGTTTTCCACATAAACTGATCTTAGTAGCCATTTTAATAGCCGACTTTGTGAAACTTTGCCTGCTGGGGCAGATCAGGACGTCAAAGTTGAAAAATGAAACTTAGGGAGACTTCTGGCATGGGCTACAGGAAGTGAAAGTAAACAAGCAGAAGTTCAGCCATAATCAGAGACTGCAGACAGAGAACAGATTTGTTTTCCTGCAGACAAAAACAGACCTTAAAACAGTCAAGATGAAGCTGCTAGTCTACCTTACAGTAACGGTACTGACCGTCGCCAACACTTCACTGCACGCTTGGCCAGACCCCACCAGAGGTAAGAACTCAGATAAAAGCAGGTTTTCTCTCCCACATCAGCTCGCCTCTTTTTAGATTAATTTAACTTAACAAATGAGCATTAAGTTCCTCAGATGTTAGTTTTTATTGGTTAGCTTTGTTTGCTAAATTAAGGTTAATATTTTGCTGTTGTTTTCAACTCATTGACATTTCTTCTTCAGTTCATGTTTGTTCATCTAAAGAGGGATCAGTGTAGGACGGAGTATTAGGGCCAAACATGAAGAGAAAAAATATTTTTGCCATGACGAGATTAAACTTGACATATCGACTTTAAAGTCGA